ACTGTTATTTTACCAGGCAAATCCCATTGAGATCTCAGATCTCTTTTTCAAGGGCGGCCTGGGCCTGGGTAAATATTACATCCTAAATCTAAATGTGCAAATCAAAATGTAAAAGTTAAACATTTAAGTATTTCGGAATGGAACTCAGCTTTTGCTGTTGGTTGCTCGGCTCTTGTTAGTACGTCATGGAACAAAAGCAACATGCTAACACTTGAACGCAGCTAACGCTTCCCCACAAGACGTTGGTCAGTGTCCGAGATGCACTTCAAACTGCCGGATCACAGTGAGTTTGAATACTATCCTTAGCAGCGTTGGCAGCTGTTAGCGTCAGCTAAACATGATGATGTCATCTTCCTGCGCCAAACGTCAACAATAGCCGCTACTGACCACCGGTTATGCTTCTAACCTGTGTGTGTACCTGTGTTCCGGCAGTTTGAAGTGCACCTCTTCTTCTGCAACACTTCTCACAAGATCACACAGAACAGAACAGAACAAAAMWGATTTGCCAGTTTTACCTCCATACTTTTTCATTAAAACTTGATCTCTGGCTTYAAAGRTGGCAGGCAATATGCATTCCCTCAAGGAATGTTAGGCCTTTAATGATATATCARGGTTTCAGGCATTATTCCAAACGACAAATGGCAAATATGCTTTRAGCTTGACTGTAGCTTTGAAAAAGATTGTCTCAAATGTCAAAGGAATTATATAAAGATTTCATCAGATCTTCTTTGAAGTGGTATATGCATAATATGACCTTCCACCAGCACTAGTTTACCTCCCACAACAGAGGCTGCACAAGCCTCTCTGTGTGCCTTTCATCTAACCAGCACAGCTACAAATGGTCAATTCAGCTGGCTGAGTTTCCCAGAATCAGCGTCTGAAGATAAGAAACCATCTTTAAAGTCAGAGGACTGTCTGAGTCTCTGATGGTGTAGCCTATCACGAAGCAGGGAGGACATCACTGACAACAATAGTCGATGTGTTTGAAAAAAAAAACAAAAAACAAAACAAAAACAAACAGCAGCAGTGAGCCAGCCCTGCTCCAGAACGGGAGAAATTCTTCTCTGTTCCAAAAAAAACACACTGCAAGAGGCTCAGAATAGAAGCCACACATGGGCAAGCTGGACAACATCCGAAGAGTAATAAAAAAAGATCCCGGGAAAAAAAATAAACATTTTGGCAGCTGATGTGAGACATAAAATTAAAATAATTTTTGGGAAAATAGTGAAACCAACTAAATAAGATAGAAATGTCAGTAAACTTTGCGGCCAACTGTCACCTTTGGAGTTATTTCGGACCTTGGGAATYGAGCAAATGAAAGGGAGTAACATCTTGAAACAATTTTACATGAAAAGCAATATATATTTCTACAATTRTTGGCTGGCGAGCTATGCACTATGAAATATATAAAGACTTGTCCTAGCAAGTCTTAACGATTAAAAATGTGTTCTCTGCTCAATATATCAAAGAAAACATCAAGGCTTCTGAGTAGYTGAGAACATTTGTTGAACCTGCTGAACTAGAGGGTGAGGTGTGTCATAGAGGTGTTCAGAGCTGTCCACTGAACCATTATGTTATTTTGCCCCATAGGCTTCAGTAAGCACCACCCTTTGGATTATGACACTGTTAATTAAGTCAATGCCACAGCTGTAAGTAGACTGTTTTTTTGTTATTTTAAGTGTCAACATCAGTTGTCTGAAMAGGATCTTACATCAAGCTGGTATTTTTTGTCTTATAATTTTTACCCCTTGCTTATTTATTTGCCCTTCTTTTATTCTGGTGCTGTGTACTAACATTGCCAACAAATATAAATGCTCTAAATTCTTTAGTTGGAGACTGTCAAAACTGACACTGTGGGTGGTTATTGCTTCTTAGACCATAAAAGCCAGCTGACAATTTGCCACCCCCATGATGTTGCAGAGCAAGAAAACAATCCATGTTCGGGACAAATCTTTGAAATTATGCCACAGAAAAATAGAGGAGTCTGCTGGCTGTCATGAGGGTTTGCCTCTGTTGGAACATTTATAAAGGGTAGAGCAACTAACTACTGTAAAAACTCCCATAAAAAATATGCAGGAGACCATATTTGCCATTTTTGTATTTGCCCCAGAACCCCAAGCCTAACCAAAACAGGAACCCCAGGTGCTTATTAGATGCTGTGCTCTGACCTTAGGTCTAACTGTGGCTTTGACCTGGTTCCCATAGGAGTCAAATCAGCAGCAATGGTCTTAAAAGGATAGTTCTTTTTATCAAGCAGCTAGTAAAGAGATCTGTTGAAATAATCGGAGAAATTTTCAGAGGAGTCAAGTTAACCACTACTTGTGAGACAAGGCTGGGGCTCACTTTTCTGTTCAATTTCAGTTATTTGGGTCACAATTCGATTCGATTTCGATTCAATTCACTATCAATTTCATAACAAGAAAAAATAAACAAATCATTCATTAGAGTACCTGTGGATAGTTTTTAGATATTTACTGTATTGTCTTGCCCACGTGAACAGTAAAGGCATACATAACCGTGAAACAAAATAATCGTTACTGTGTGTTTGCTACCAGGATGTGTTCGAAATCATATGAGAATGTTCAAATTTAATGTGAGTGTCAGAGTAAACCATACAGAAACCAGACAGCTCCCGCTGATAACCTGTTTCATGCAGACCAGGAATCAGGCCAAAACAAGGAAGTGACAAAGATTATAACGTCTGCTTCAGGGCATGACTTCGCCTCTTAATTACGTCATCGATTGTGAGCGGGTTCCTATCATTTTGGTCAGAGACATGCCCACCAAAAAATATAAACCTATCCTAATGATTTTAAACATACAAATATGCATTGTATTTCTTTCAGGCATGTGGCTAATAAAATAGAATCATCCAGGTAATCATAAATCACATTTATCAGTCATTTCACTACCAAAATAGACTATGTGTTTTGTAACTATAATCAGTGTACCCCAATAATTCCTTCAACCATTTTCGAAAAATAAAACATCTGATAAGAAAGCAGTAGTACAATAATACTGTATACTTGTTTAAAATATGGAGTGCAAACCTAAAAAATAAAATAAAAAACTAATTAATTCAGTGGATTTTATGAATCAATATTGAATTGAAAAAAACATATATATATATATATTGCAATGCATTGATGAATCGATATTTTTACCCACCCCTTGTCATAGCTTTTAGTTTCACCATCCTAGTCTCAAAACAACACCTAAAAGGCTAAAAATTTGTACTTAAAAGCAAAAACAAGGCATTTTTTTCTTGGATGATGTGAGGAACTCTGTAAAGTAAGAGTTGGGTCATCAGTAGTACGATATTTTGAGCCAATACTGGGCTCTGAACTGTGGTTATGAGCTTGACTCCCTCATGAAATTTCTCCCTGATTCTCCAAACCGACTGTGCTTTTCATGCCTTACCTTGACAATGAGTGATATTCATCCTTTTAAAACCTTTGGGACATTCCACTTGTCCATTTTCAATCACTGCATATGCTGCAAACAGAAAAAGAAAACATAGTTCAGTAAAATATTTTTTTTCTCTCTGTCACAAAGCATCACAGAGGAAGTTTAAAAGTGAAACATGTCGGGGAAAAATAATAAAGGGACCCACAACGAGGCCTTGTGGGRCTCCAGAATGAGTTTTGAGAAACTAGACATTTATCTGCACATGAGGAAGGACAAACAAGACAGCTTGAGGTGAAATCACTGGCCAAAATTTTTTTCAATTATTTAGCCAGAGTATTAAAACATGATGAGTGCTTCAGGTGTGTATGATAAAAGTTCACAGACGTGTCACAATAAATTGAACAGTTTGTTATGGCCCCAGTGCAGACAGCTTGTCAGTCCCGGAGGCTCGTAAACATGGTGTCATGATTCGCCTGGCAGGAGGTCAAGCCTCAAAGCGCTCCATTATAGACACAGACAGGTCAGTGTGACTATCATATRGTGAAAACTGAGTCTATTTGTGTTTCATCAAGTGAGTCTGCAGCTCCTTTTGACAGACAGAGATGATGTGTGTGASGTTTTACGTTTCTGAGCAGAAACTGAGTGAATATTGGTAACAGAGCTTTTTGTGACATAAACTGAGATGGCAGCTTTTTCTGCTAAAAATATCCAACTCTGTGCTTTTGGTTGAGGAGAGCTGTAAAAAAAAAAAGATGGCATGCTTGTTAGCACGATAAAACTGTTTCCCTCTGTCTATTCACATTACAGTCACTAAATTAGACACTCTAAAGCACATACCCACTTTGTTTTCATAGTGATTCTGAGAATTAAACCAAAATTCTTACGAGTAAGGTTGAAATATTTGCGAAAGAGTGCAATTGTGAGCATTCACTCCACATAATGATCAAAAGCATGTGAGGTTTAGATAAAACTCAGTTATTTCTATTTTTCAAACTTATCAGTAGAATTTTAATTGTTAGGTTTGTTCCAGTGTATGCTGTAACTTTCAGCTGTTCCTTTCTGCACCAAGCAAATTCACATGAAAAATTTGGCAGTTGTTTTATGCCAGATACCCTTTTTGAAAGAACCTGGGTCAGAACCCAGTTTGTTTGTCTGTTAGCAAAATGTCACAAGAACCAGCRGAGAAATTAGAATGAAACAGGATGCACATCTACAACYGATTGACCTTTCAAGTCCACTTGATTCAAGATAGCGGCCACTGTTAATTAACCTAAGCAAACACAAAAAATGACTGTATCTCGGTCATTGCAGATATTGTACTGACAGACTTCTCTAACACATAATCCAAGGGCTTACAGATCCCACAATAACTGGGTTTTAAACATGTTATCGTAATTACTTTAAAAAATGCAATTTTTTTAATAAGGCTGKCAAAACTAGCATAAAATTACGATGAATGTTTTTATCAGGTCAACTTCACTGGAATTTTTTATATTTTTTCTCTGTAATTGTCGTGTACTAATGCTAATTATGTCCCAGTGAGACCCAAATTACATCTCTTTCKTTTAAAAAGTACTAAATATAAAACTTATAAGCATAACCAATGCTGAAAACAGCTTTTTGGTGGTTTGAGCCGGTTAAAATATATATATWTTTTTTTCTTTTTTGGTGATATGGTGCTTTTATTTTGGTGATTTGGTGCTTTTAGCTTTTTTTTCTGATTTTAATTTCTCAATAAAAGCTTAGTTTCACCCTGCCTCCTGTTTGGGAGTTCACACTTCAGCACACCCAGCCGTGACGAACTGGACAACACCTTTTACTCTGTTGCCATGGAAATGAAACTAGTAAACAAAGATGATGCATGCTAAACTCTCTAGAGGGTTTGAGGAGGAAGGGAAAAGTAACATAATGTTTGTGACCGTGGCATAAGTAAAACACAGTTTTTGATTAAGTGTTTGTGGTGAAATGATGTAAAGGGCCATCTGGATACTTTACTGGACAAGAAGGTCCAGACAGGAAAACACTTGTTCCTATAAAGATAAGATTACYATACAACTACTCAACAATCTACCACAGGTTTGTGTCATTTTCCCAGGACGGACTGGAATGTCTGGCACATGTAGGGTTTTCTGGAAACAAGCTTCTGAAAGCTGACTCGTGTTATGGTCCTGCTGTGACCCAGTCGACCAGGCAGGGTCRGTGTACCTGAGGGTTGACAGAGCAGAAGTGGGTCAGCATGAAGGAGGTAGCCAGAAAATTAGGGGAACTGTGTCAAGGCAATGCATCTGTTGCTTGTCGTCCTCCACACCCTCCTAATCCTTCTCCAAAGACTCGGAGTAATTAGTTGTTGTGGAAAGGCGATGGGCACGGCTTTCCTACGGGGAAGGAATCAGCGAATGTCTGGCCTGAGTGAAAGCAGGCCATAAGTGCCAAAGCAAGCTCAGTAGGGAAGGTCCAGCACGCTTTTGAAAGTGTATTAGCAAGAAGAAGACRTCTGTCGACAATGAGACCTTCAGCAGAAATTAAAACATTCGGCCAAATGTTTGAAATGGTTTAGAAGAAAAATATAAAAATAACTACAAATGTCTCAAACAGCTTTAAACCATAAAGCTGTTAAAGTTTCAATTGCACCAGATGTATTTTCCAAATATGTTTTTTTTTACTTTATTTGAACATGTTGGCAGACAAAGTTTAACGCTTCCATGTGCACTCAAAAAGGGTTATTGCTGGAGTTCTGCTGGCAGATATTTATTGATCCCTGGGGGCACTTTGTTTGCCGTACGTTCCAAACCAGCTGGTGAAACTCAGCACATAGATGCGGACAATAAACCAACTCTAAACTGGTTGTCTTCATTTGATAAAAGATATAGAGATGGCATTTTTTAAAATTTTTTACTGTCTGTTAGTATTTAGCCGAGTCTTGTTTTCTGATTCAGAGGAACAAGTTGGCTGTGAAATTTTCCTGTTACGCAAAAAGCAAATAAGGATGGTATTAGAACGCTAAATGCTGTGCCAGAAAATGTGGAGCTACGCAAGCAGTGGTTTGCAAGAGTGACCTGGAGCTGCGGATCATTAGGGTCACCCTTGGTTACTGAGACTGTAGACCCAGACTTGTCCGGATCCACAGAGTACAGATAAAACCATCCAGTTGTCATCTATCCATTTAGCCCTGTCCAACAAAAGATTTTGTCATCCCTCACTAATTTCTTACCCGTCTCTATTCAGCTGTGGTGTGCATTCTACCAGAGACTGCTCATCATTATTTGCAAAAATTGTCAAAATGAAGGTGTGATTCKAATTCTTTGAAGTTTATTTTACTGCCTCTGTTGTTTTAACTTGAATTCGAAGAAATCTTTTAGTCTTTTTCTCCTAAAAAGGCACTGCTGGATATTCACATGAGAACTCATGCAAACAAAAACTATAAAGACAGAAATCTTTTACTGTTAAATGTGATGCAATCATACTGCAGACCTCCCAGCTTTCAGGGTATCCCTCTGAAAACTGAGTAATCTGCTCCATGAATCACAGGCCCCAAGGCTCTTTGCCAGACTCTCTAGAAACTTGCCTGGGAGACAATCTCAAGGTCGAACCGCCTCACTTAAAGGAAACATATTGTGCTTTTAAATCCTTATTTTTCACATTTAAATCATTCAATTGGGGTCTATATAATGTGGAACTGCAATGCTTCGCTCTGAATTCCTCCTTATTGTAACTCCACAGGCCCCTCTTTCACCCCTTTTTTGAGGTGTGTCTCAGATCAGCTCATTTTAACGCTTAAATCCAAACGAGACGCTTCACTTCCCCAGCTAGACTGGTCTATTGTAGCTTGATACAAGAGTTTATGACTACTTAGCAGTGCAGAAACTTTTTATTTCCAAATTAATTAAAAGATTTAAACAGAAGACTTGTCCATCCTGCCTTTCACTTTGGAGCCAGAGTCTGACCCAGAGCCAGAGGAGAACGAAGACCATCAAATTGTTATTGGTAAATCCAGACCTAATATGGCAGTTCAGTCACAAATGCTTTGACAGAACAGTTCAGAAAATGTTCAAAAAATACAGAACACTGAACGGGTTGAAAAATATGAACCAAACAGAATATAAAGATATCTACGCAGCACCAGGAGAGACTAAATTCGACTTTTCTGCACTCCTGGAGACTCCAAGTACACAACAAAATCTATTTAATGGCTAAAAAAGTGGATTTTGCAGGATATGTCCCATTTAACAAAAAGCTCTCAAATACTTGTCAAAGCAAGGTTTGCCAATTTTCACTGATGCCTCAAAGCAAGACGTTCCTGGATTTGATCCCGGGTACACAGACTTGGGAAAGTTCTGCGTAGAGTTTGCTCCATGTTCTCCTTGTGCTTGCGTGGGTTTTCTCCGGGTACTCTGGCTTCCTCCCACAGACCAAAAGCATTCATGCTCATGTTGCCTTCAGGGCCGGGCCTCTCTTCCAAAGAGATCTGTGATCTCAGTGGGATTTGCCTGTTTAAATAAAGGTTAATAAATAAATCTGACAATGGCCATATGACATAACACTGTAATACTGACAATGTTAAAAGCTCCAACRTACTGGTTTTGATCATTAGGATACTTAGCTGTGAACATGCATTACTTTAAAGCATCTAACTCAAAACACATGTTAAGCAGCAGCAAACGGACTTTTATGGCCCAGTTCGTCTTTCTGCTGCATTACAATTTTATGTTGTTGTTCTTTCTGCTGCTCCCTTCTGCAGAGGTTGCCACAGCGAGTGAACCCGTGTGAAAGATTTGGCAACGGTTTTACACGAAAATGCTCTTCCTGATGCAACGTGGGGTCAAACTTTCAGCCTCACGATTACAAGACCACAGCACTGACCACCGAGCGACCGCAGCCCCCTGCATCAAATGTTTACGTAAAGCCGACTAATTCACAGACGCATTCATTGTCACCCTTTATTTAGTTTGACAAAGTTTTTTAACACCCATCTTAGAGATGCTGATGACAGTGTAGCCCACATCAAACACATTCGAAACAGACCCACATTCCTCTATAATCTCCAACTCACTGTGGAAACGTCTCCCACTCACTGTGGAAACGTCTCCCACTCACTGTGGAAACGTCTCCCGCTCACTGTAGGAACATCTCCCACTCGCTGTGGAAACATCTCCAACTCACTGTGGAATATTAACCACCTGGGCTTGTTCCAGTGAAAAGCATGCTGCAGAACATTCCTGATCCCCAACTTAGTTTGGCTCCAATTAAGAAAAGCATAGCAAATTTCATATCCATCTTCCTCCAACTGGGATTAATTTCTCCTAGCGGTTAAGTCTGCTGCGCTGTGATTAGCCACTCTGCTAATGGCTTCATCATTCCGGTTGTGCGGGAATAACGCTAAGTCAACATYAGTGAATCAGTCGCTGTCAGAGACGTGACGTCTTTATCTAATTAGAGCAAGGAGCTGCTGTGGAGTTATTCTGTTGCATGTTCTTTTGTAGCATGTTTCTTTGCCTCTGTAATCCGCTTTTTGTTCAATGTGGCTGTTAACAAGTATCCATCTTTGATCAGAGTTAACAAAATTAGGTAGCACAAGCTCGATGTCAGAGCAATATCTTGGTCAGGGTAAATATCTTGGTCAGGGTAAATATCTTGGTCAGGGTAAATATCTTGAGAACAGATGGTAGAATTTCGAGGGATGAATTCATGAGGGGTGGGGGCTAAACGAGGAGCTCTATAGGCCTGATCCGGACCTCTGTAAGAATAGCTTCAAGAATGCAAGAAACTCAGGGAAAACAGAGTGAAATGTGACTACAGAGGCAAGTTATGAAATTTTATTAAGTGTGTGGGAGGAGCCGATGGCACTGTTCAAGAAAGTCATGCTGGGTCACTCTAGGGTCAGAACAATCAATTTACCTGAAATGAAATGTATTATTGAGACAGTTCAACAACTGTAAAACAATATTTACTCTAACTTCTCATATATCATTGATTAGATTCTTCTCATAATCCTGTTGGATCAGTATAATGAATAGGTGTAACCACTTGCTCAATTGTTGACTTTATAAGCCACAAGGGCTTATATTTAAGAGAGACATATGCTTTTAAATTCTTCTTTTTCACATTTAAATCATTCAGTTGGGCTCTATATTAAGTGGAACAGCAATGCTTTGCTCTGAATTCCTCGTTATTTTAACTCCACAAGCCCCTCTTTCACCCCTTTTCTGAGGTGGGCCTCAGATCAACTCATTTTGACGCTGTCTCCTTAAATCCAAATAAGGCGCTTCTCTCCTCCTTCTCCTTTATTATTATTATTATTTTTATTTTTTTTTTTACAAACAAATAAAAATATGTAAACAAGGGAAGACTTTTCCAACCAGCCTTACATGTTGGAGCCAGAGTCTGACCCAGAGCCAGAGGAGAATGAAGACAACAAAATTGTAGTTGGTAAGTCCAGACCTAATTTAGAAGTTCTGCCTCAAATACTGTGATGTAGTAGTTCAGAAAATGTCACAAGAAATAGAGAAAACTGAACAGTTTGAGAAATATGACCCAGAAAGTATATAAAGATATCTAAGCAGCACCGGGAGAAACTAAATTAAAATTTTCTGCACTTCTAGAGACGCCAAGTACACAAAAAAATGCACGTAACATTTAAAAAAGTGGRCTTTGTATGAAATATCCCCTTTAAGGAAAAGCTTGACCATCTCTACATTCATTACAAAAACTGTATTTAAAACTAAGAGCAGGACCGTTTTGTTACTCCACCTCCACTCCAGGCAGAAAGATGGATCTGACTACAGTTTGTTCTGGTTGATCTGGATCTCATTACTCCAGGAATCCTCAGCATGTGACTTTTAAAGGCCCTGGCTCCTGAAGGCTTCGTCTCCCACCAAGACGGGACAAACTGGCATTCTTGCTTACGACCTTCCTTCACATAAACAGGTACTGGCTTACAAAACTTTTCCACTCGTTGCCACAAACGTTACATAATGGCCTCAGTYTGTAAAAGCAAATAGCGTTCAATAATATGTCAGCAGCTGCTTCGAAATGCCTTTATGTACATTTAAAAACTTCACAGACACACCCAGACTGAAACACAGGCATCATACTGTAAATTTATAACACCGAGGCAAGTGATGTAGATGTAATGAAAGTAATGTAGAGACAAGAAAGAAAGACTAAAACCTAGTGTGCAGCAGAACCCCATTAAATTCTGCTCATTCTAGTATTTTMCGGTCAAAAAAGATGAAGTAGTGAGCCTAGCATTCCGTCAACAGCACATTTTGCAACAGGCTATAAACTGACCAATGATAGCTTTGCACGCTTACACACAAACTGAGCTTTTATGACATAATTATCACATACTCAAGAGGAAACATGGGATACTTATATAAAGCTAGAAGACTATTCTCACAATGCTGCAAGCTAACAACTGATTCATCATAATAAAACAAGAGGCGCAGCATCATTTTTCAGAGGCTGTTGCCTCCAGGCTCCATGTAACTCCTGTCGAACTCACAAGAAAGCACACACCTAATCAGTCCAGCCAGAGAAAAATGCGCCATAGATTAAGGATAAATCCAACATCTAAAGTGTGAACTATAACACTCTAGGGGAATTCAAAGTATTCATCTTATGACATTTGCCTCGAAATCCTTTTGGGACATTGTACATGACTTCATTTTGACTTCAGCTTTTTCTCTCTATCACTTTCTGAGTCCGTTTCATGTCTTCCTGCATGTGACCCTACAGCTTGCTGCCTCCCAAAAACAGCCACAGAAATGAGCAATCGGGTWTTCATTCCTTTTTTGTTTTACCATCAAACTTCAAAGAAGGGAGGGGAAGAAAACATCTGGGAGCCAAAAGAATCAKGCTGGAGACTATGACAGTGCGTGAATCTGGCAAGCCAAGAGGAGACAAGCAGTAAGAGGGARAGGAATGAATCAACATCTATTATTGATAGAGGAGAGGGGCTCGTGTCTGCTTCTGATTAAGGTCCAGTCAAACATGGTTCAGGCCCACTAAACTCCCAATCTGTGGGCATGGATGTTMTATCATAAATAAAACTAAGAGATGAATTCATCTCAGGGTGCAGCAGCTGCTTCCCATGRGGTCTGAAACGGGGACGAATGGCGACTCCAGACTCCACGCAGCGTGCTGGGCCGAGCAGCAGTCTCCATCTGAAGTGAAGAGCGCTGCCACCCACCCTGTGCGCCGGCCCACAACCGCTCTGCTGCTTTCCCTCAAACCGACCGCAGCTCTGGTCGGAAAGCTGTTCATTTCCTCACTCTTTCAAGCCCACATCGGTTCTCCCTGCCCACAGGGTGGTGGGTGGCACGCCTGCCAGGATCTCGTCTGTACGCTAAATGCATTTTTATTTGCATCCTGGTTTGGGTTTATTGAAAGTGAAGACCGCTTCGTTTAAATCACTGGGCGCAGACGCGCGTCACAAGSCTTCATTAGCAGCCATCATTTGTTTTAATGCTTGTGATAATTACAGTGAAATAAAAATCTACCAAGCCCCTGTCAATGTTCATAAAATAAATAATTTGCAAATCTATTTATTAGACTACATGCAGACTGGGAACTCTAGCTGGACCTTTAACAAAGTATTAATAAGAAAAAATATCCACACGAAACAAAGCTAAACAATACTGGGAACTCAAAATCTTACGAAACACATCCTAACCAAACAAATGTTTCGATTTAATGGTTTTGGGCCTGAAGTCTTACCTGGTTTAGTTGGACATTTTTGGCATTTGTTGAAACCCCAGGAGGCGCCAACACTCCCACAGCAGTCATCCTGTTTGGTTAGGCCTGGCAGAGGTTTGCCGCACTGCAACAACACACAGCTGCGTCAAAACCGGGAAGCATGTTTCTTTGGATTACAGGTTTGTGCACGCATGCTTGTTTACRTCAAAGTGTTTGTGTACTGGCAAGGGTGTAAGGGCTGGTTATGTCACAGTGTGTGCATCTGTCTCCTAGGACAAAGCAAACCAGACATCTGAGATWTTTTAGACAGGTAAGAACATAAACACTGAAGTCTGAGATCAACTACAAACTGCTTAATAAAAAACAGTACACCATAAAGAGGAAACTTATTATATCTAGAGTTAATGATGTTTTTGCCAATATAGATTTTGAAATAGTATAGAATAATATGGAAACTTCATACTAAAGCCCAAGTTTTGCTCTCCTTTTACATGGTGACACTTCAGTTCAACTTCAAGCTCCTAATTAAGCCATAATTTAAAAAATGAAAACCAGTGTGACAAAACAAACCCATTTTGTGTCAATGCTTTGTTGCTGTTAATACCCCATCTAACAGCAGATTTTGGAAATTCCAACCTCTGTGCCATTCAAACAGCCACTAGAGAAAGTTATGGTTTGTTAGGAAAAGTGTGATTAATTTTTGTCCGGTGTTGGTCAGGTGGTGTTGGTTTGAGAGGAGGTGGAAGCTCAACATTTAGTTCTCTGTTGTCCAATCACTGAGGGTTATCTGGAAAACTAACTTGTATTTTAAACTCATACACAGACTTACTATACAACTGCAATTGTAACAGCATAACTAAGCCTAATGGCATAAAAATGAATACCAGGCCTCATTGACAGCCAATTAAAGGGGCAATATTATGTGTTTCTCAGGCATACATTTAAATACTACACCATAATAAAGTATCTACCTCACCTTAAGCTGTTATTAAAATGCTGTTTTTATGTTTAAATAGAAAAGAAACTTATCTTCTCATCACTTCCTCTTCTAAACGCCTTGAAATTGGCCTCTGTCTCTTTAAGAACCTCCTTCTGCTACTGTCTCATCCATTTCAGTGCGGGGGGAGGTGCTATGCTGACCAGTTTACTTGGCATCTTAAAATATATTTCCTCAAAGGTATTTTTAATCTGAAAAGAGCTTCACTGAGTGGTAACTAGTGTTGCGTACAGCAGACAGTTTCAGTTTCACTTTCAGTTTCACCCGAGAGCCTGCAGGAGTCATGGGCGGGGTGTGTGGGGAGGGGGAAGGG